TGGATTAATAATTAGTAATAGGTTCAAAACTCATCGGAGACAATGATGTTGGTGCTTAATATAACACATACCGTTAGAAAAAGGAGGAAGTACAAAATAGTGATATTAATATGTTAGGTGGTCTCCTTTCAAAAAAAATATGTTAGGTGGTCTAATCGATGATGTTGGTTCCTTAGGGGTTTGCTTTATTATATGATATAGATATAGACTCTGTTCTAAAAATCGTTCTAGGCGTCCGACTAATCCCCGCCTAGGCGCTAGGCGGTGGTCGGGTGCCCCGATTTTCGTCTAGGCGCTCCGACTAATTGGTTTGCCGTCTAGTTGAATTAGTCGGCCGCCTATTTGCCCGCCCAGAGCGCCTAATCGGCCGCCTAGGCCGTCTAGATTCGCCGGACATTACTTTACTTTTCAATTTTAATTTTCTAAGCGATATAAGTACTTTAACTTTAGCTACGGGTATAAAGAAACGAAGTCTTAAATTAAGATAAAGAGTATATATGTTTGTATATATACCTAAATTATTATTATTATTTATATTTATAACATAATGAAGTTAAGTGTTTAGTTGTCATATATTACGCATGATTAAATGTGATAATTCTGTCATTCATGTTTGTGTGTGTGTACATATGTATTTTATTTCTACAAGAATACAATATTACTTATCATATTTATGCAAAAATATAGATAAAAATGCAATTTCTATGTTCCGACTAGTCCCCGACTAGGCGCCCGCCTAGCCGACTAGGCGCTAGGCGCTGGGCTGGCGCCCGACTAGCGCCTAGCGTCTTTTAGAACATTGGATATAGATATAGATTTAGACAAAGTTGACCGTTTTCCTATAGAGTTGTTTTTAAAGACATGTTCTTTATTCTTTTTAACATTTAGTATGCGATTAGAAGCAAGTTTCTTATACGGAGTAATACATTAACCGGTTCCGATCCTTCACATTGAGAATAAGAAACAATTATTGTATTATCTCGGGAGCCATCCAACTCTAAGTGCCCGGATTATCAACCAAAAGATCACAATATACATTCTCACAGGCTCCGTCGAAATTAGAAATCTTAAGCCATGTACATCATGCTATTTTGTAAACTATATTATCTTAAAAAAACATTTTCAATTAACCCTTAAAAATTACTATATGACATGTACAAACATCAACAACATAAATTTTATATCCAATAATTATATCTTTATGACCCGTGCATATCACACACGTGAAAATCTAGTTTATTACAACATCATAATGATATAGCTCAATCTAACCTATTCCACTGTGATTCATTTATTCCTTGTAAGTGCCTTCCTATGCTAGCTAGTTTTATGTCTCACTCTGGGGTTGTTCTCAGTGGCGTCTCTGCTGGGAGTTGGGCTAGGCAAATGCCTTGGGCCTCACTTCCCAAGGGGGCCTCCAATTTTTTTTTTTGTAATTAGTATTAGCCTATTATACATTTATACTAGTAATTCATTAGTTAATCTGCGGACTGCGGCCTACGGGGAGCAATAATACTCGACCGACTCGGCGACTCCAAGCGTGAAGCCGGTGAAGGTAAGCGAACCAAGCAATCCGAAGCATAAGCCCTTCATCAATTCTGCTGAAGAGAAGAATCTCTACGCTGATTGCCGATTCAGCGGCGACTCGATTTTGCGACCAAGACCAGCGGCAGCGTCCAGTCCAGGCTTCAGCGAAGCGAAGAATCCTATGAGTTTTTATCTTTCTCTAAAGCTCTAAATTTTCATCTCTTTTGCGATTCGGGACAGTTGTTCTATTATTCTATTCAACCTCGATTAGCAAAAGCCAAAAGTGCTGGAGTAATAATTCACCATAATGACTATCACCTCAATTTTTAATGAAGTTGAAATTTGAAATACATGTTAGCATATACATACGGTAGTACAGACTACAGAGTATGTTTTTGGAAATTGGGATAGGGGGACATTGGCACTTGGGTAATGTGTATTATTGTATTATAGAGGTATGACTGACCATATGAGATAAATAAGTTAAATTTGAAAAAACAGTTATTTTGTTTGTTTTTTTATTGTATTTGTTAGAATAGATGTTTAGGTTGTTTGTTAATTAATTGATTTGTTTGTGATTGTTACTACTTTATATTTTCTATAAATGTTGTCATTAGGGCTGCCTTTAGTATGATGAGTAAGCGGAAAATTTGACTTAGGGTGTACAAAGAGAAAAAATAAGTTGAGGAGAGATTTGATTATACAATCGTTTGCTGACTATTAAAAATATTATATCGTATACTTTGAATATGTTTTCTTTCATATGATGTTTTTTATTCAATTTATCTACTTTGATTTTTGCACCATATTTTTTTTCCCGTCTAGGGCCTCCCAAATGCTAAAGACGCCCCTGGTTGTTCTGATCTATTGCTCTGCTTTGTCCACTATTACCTTCAATATCATTAAGAAATTTCTTTAAAAAAAGCACTTGCAATTTACTCGATCTTAAAAATTACTATATGACATGAACAAACTTCGACAACGTAAATTTTATATTAAATCTAGTTTATTACAACTTCATAATGATATAGCTCAATCTAACCTATTCCATTGTGATTCGTTTATTCGTTGTAAGGCGTTTTTATATTTTTATTATGTATTCTTTTCGTAATTGATTTTGGTAGGGGTGAATCCCCATGAATGAGGTGGGACACATATCTAGCTAATTTCTACTCATTTTCTAAAAACTATAGCCTTTAGCCCGTTGCTGCAGCACCTGTCACCCCCGTCGCTGCGGCACCCGCTGCCACAATCTCTGCGGCACACGCTTCCCCCGGGCCCTGTCGCCACGTTCGTGCTCATGCGCCGCCGTCATATCCATAAAGTAGGAATAATAAAAAACCACACAAATTATACCGAATTTGGTATGCCACAATTATAGTAGGACATGTCGAAAAGGAAAGACATATTTAATCTTAGCGAGACGGAGGGCTTATATAATTTAAGTCATATACATATTTAATTAATTATTTATAATTCTTGTATGTGTGTGTATATATATGCATATTTAAAAAAACTAGATTGACTACTTAAATTTTAAGAGTGATTGTATTGTTCTAAAATGTCTAAAATTATGAGATTATTGTATGTAAGTAATAAATTAATTAATTACCGTCAAAGTTAACGGACAATTTTAACGATTGATATAGATTGAATATATTAATCACTAAAATGATAGATTTAATTGTTCGAGGACCAAAATGATATGATAATGACAATTCAAGCACCATTCGTGCATTTTACTCTAAAAGGGAAGATATGGATTTAGGAATGAAAAATAGGTAACCTGGTAATCTAATTTATTTTTTTCCAAATATAATCTTTTTTTACTAATCTAATATTTTTCTTTTCCTGATACGTAAAAGTATTAGGAGGCGTTTACTTCGCTGCTAAAGTCACAGTTAGGTTAGTAAGACAGGTGAAGTAAACACGCACGCTGCTTAAAAAGCCGCTTACTAACCGAAATAGGTGCTTAAAGTGCCGCTTACTAAGCCTACCACACCCCCATGTATTAATTAAGCGGCACTTTAAGCTTTTTCAGTTTCCGAATTTACCCCTTGCCCTTACCCTATTGTTACCCCTGACCCACCTACCTACCGACCCCACCTTGACCCCAACCCCACCCTACCCTTACCCTTACCCCACCCCTACCCCCTACCTTACCTACCCCACCCCACCTAACCGACCCCCACCCTACCCTTACCCCCACCTACCTGACCCCACCTTACCCCTACCCTACCCCATCCTACCCCTACCCGACCCCACCCTACCACTACCCTACCTACTAGACCCCACCCCTACCCTACCTACCAGACCACAAACCTACCCCACCCCTTACCCACCTATCCAACCCCACCCTACCCCTACCCTATCCCGACCCCACCCTACCCTTACCCTTACCCCACCCCTACCCCCTACCTTACCTACCCCCACCCCTACCCTACCTAACCGACCCCCACCCTACCCTTACCCCACCTACCTGACCCCACCTTACCCCTACCCTACCCTACCCCATCCTACCCCTACCCGACCCCACCCTACCACTACCCTACCTACCAGACCCCACCCCTACCCTACCTACCAGACCACAAACCTACCCCACCCCTTACCCACCTACCCAACCCCACCCTACCCCTACCCTATCCGACCTCACCCTACCCATACCCTGACCCTACCCCATACCCCGCCTAAACCCACCCTACCACTACCCCACCTACCCAACCCCACCCATACCTTACCTACCCGACCCACCCTACCACTACCTGACCGCAGTCACCCCACCATACTCTTACCCCACCTACCCCATCCCACCATATACCCCGACCCCACCCTTTACCCCCACCCTATACCTAGGGTGGTGGGGTTGGGGTGGTGGGGTCGGGGTGGGGCCAATGTGATAGAGGCGCTAGGGGCAGAGTAGGTGCGGTGGGGTCGGGGGTAGGGTTGCGGCAGAGTGGGGTCGGGTAGGGTAGGGGTAGGGTGGGATTGGGTAGGGTAGTGGTAATCGGGGTAAGGTAGGGTAGGGGCGGGGTTGGGGTAAGGTAGGGTAAGGTGGGGTCAGGGTGGGGTCGATGCGGTAAGGGGGTATGGGGGTAGGGGCCTATGGGGTTGGGGGTAGGGTCGCGGTAGGGTGGGATCGGGTAGGGGTAGGGTCGGGTAGGTAGGGTAGGGGTAGGGGGTAAGTGGGGTCAGAGTAAGGTAGGGTGGGTAAGGGGTTAGGGGGTATGGGTACACATTTATATTATATACTTGTGTTCATGAATGTTTGTGTGTGTATATGTATAGGGTTATTTTGGACATTTTAATGTTAAGCGGTGTTTTAAACCGTTTGAAGTAAACACAGTCTTACAACATTGTTTATTTTATGCACCGCTTATTAACACGGGTCTTAATAAGCACCGTTTAATAACCGGTGAAGTAAACGCCTCCTTAGTAATAGGTAGTTAAAAAGATGCTCCTACTAATTTTGTACTAACGAGACCACTCCTCCGTATTTATCCATCTCCGCTCCTCCGCTCCCCTGTATTTTTCCAAAACAAGAGTAACGGTGGTGGCCTTTCGCTTCTTCCCTCCCTCGATCCTGGCCAAAACAAAGTAAATTACTCAGCCACTGGAGTGGGTGGCGGCCGGAGGGAGGAGTCGGTGGTCGGACGGAGTGGGGATGAGCCTGAGCAAAATGATGGATGTTTCGCGGTGCGTCCTTAGCTTTCCTTGGCTTCTTTTTTCCCACACCGAAACCGAGCACCTAAAGTCTCTCCTCCGCGTGGAGGGGGTAGTCGAGGGGAGGAGCGGGAAGGAAGGGGGTCGCGGAAGAACAAATCGATCTAAGACAAGTAAGTACATCGATTCTTTTTTTTTATTTATTTATTTATTTATATATATATTATAAAAAATAATAAATATACTGGAACTGATTTCAGAACTAGTAATGTTTTTCCAATATATGAATTGGTTGGTTGAACTGCTTCTGAGAGCTGTTTCTCTTCACTTTGGATGACACTAATTACTAGTAGGCTAGTAGCATCAACTACATTGTGGAAAATGAAAGACAACATTGTATGGAAAAAGGGATAAGGGAAGTTAAATTGCAGCTTATTAGCATTTTCTAAACATATGATGGAAACAGTACATCTTCAACTTGGTTTTTTTTCCAGTTAATTGCTTACATGTTGAATCTTTCTGTTTCAAGAAAGAAAACAAAACCATATTTTTTGGTCCTTAGATACAAGGAAGTAAGCTGCTTTGTTAAGCATCATATTGGGCACAAATTTTTTCCACATTTTCATTCAACAAATCGAAAATTAACAGACGTTCATTGTACTATCAGACTTGAAGAAATATTAACTTCGATTTCTAGCAGAAATGAGAAATGGCACAACTTTAAAAATTCCACTTACATTAATATTTGAACGTCTTCGAAGTTCAAATGATTACTTGAGAATTTAAGCACTTTTGGCCCAATTTTTTGTCTCTCACTCCAGTTAACCATGAAGGGTGACGAGTGAATGAATCTAATGTTTGAAACTGCCACTTATTACTCACTTTGAACTAGTACTAGTATGGTGTTCCTATGCTTAGCTAACATTGTTTTTGCTTGCTTGTTAAACTGTAGGTGAGAGATATCCTATGCACTTGTATTCTGGAAAGCGTTCAAAGGTAAGTTACAGTCTTCCATTGAGCATCTCAACTTTTGTCATCATCAATACTATGGTTTTTATTTTTTTTTCATATATTTAGATTTCAGTTTTTATGTAATACAAATATAGAGTAAGCCATTGGCATTTTTGAGTTATCCATGTCATGCATGAAGGAAATAACTCGACATATACTAGAGTCACAGTTTTGACCCTTCAAAAATCAGTGTTACTTCATGCTGTGAACCATTGCTTTTCAACTTGACCTGCATTTTCTTCTTGTGTAATTTCAACCAGGGGAAAGTTGTCTGGTACAGAATGGGCCTTGTTCACTGGAACTGCCCCCTGACTCATCACAAAGGATAGTAGAGCCACAGTATGAGGGTATCAAACGTTTCATCCTCAAATTGATGATGTTTTACGCTAAACAGTGCACATCCATCCGAGGGGCAAATGTTATTTATCGTCGCATTACACATCAAGTTGATGGACTTGCTCTATATGATGGTCAGTCCATCTCCTTTGTTTTGTTTTCGGAACATTCAAACTTTTCTTAAGTAAAAAAAACTCCATCCTAAATTTTCTTTCCACTTTCCTTTTCGAATGTGATGGACTGGTCGCTCACAATTTTTTAATCAAAGTATTAACGCTTGAAAAGTATAATTTCTCTTTCTGCACTTTATTCCTTGGACCCAAAAAACTGACATAGACATATATTTTGTAGTATTTAGCTTGGAGAAAACATTTAACACAACCTTCTGTGTGCGTGATGCCGAAAAATATTACTACAATACTAAAACAAGAAACAGATGTATGGTTAACAAGTTTCTGCTTGTTTGATTTTAATGTGAGGCGTGAAACATCACAACATCATGTTTGATGATATTGTTTAAAAAAAAAAACGCAGGCTGCATTTAGTTGTAGAAGGTTCCATTTTTTGTTATGATATTGTACTCACGTCATGTGGAACTAGGGATACAAGTTTTTGGCTTTCTGCGTTTATTGCTTTCTTCCTTCCTTTCTGCGTTTCCCAGCTACTGAGACTTTGTTTCCCAGTATGCTTTCTGCATTTTAGGTTTGCGATCAACTTCCGAACTCTGCGTTTGTGTTTGAGCTTTGCGCTAAGTTTCTCAGGCCTCTGTTCTGCGTTTAATGTTTTCTTCGAATAACAGGGATGACTGAATGAGCTGATCATTTAACGGGGCTGCTAATAAATGATCGTTAGGTAGCGGTGTATCACTAAGGAGAGTAAATTAGATATTTGATTTGTTTTTAATTATTCTTATTTAATTTAGTGGCTGTGTTTAGTAAAAAGGGGGCTGTATATAGAATTATCCTTTCATAAGTAACAATAAACGAGCTAATTCTTTAACCGAGGTAGTAGAATTCTACTAGTCTCAGTTTCCCTTTTGTTTCTTCTACGTCCTACAATTATGTCTACTTCTCTTTTTTCAACTCAACTAATTTTCTACTGTTTCTACGGCCTTACACTTGCTCATTTGACCTTTTGAACGGTTTGCCCATATTCTGTTTTTTCGTAAAAGTTACCCACCTTTTATTGGTTTCCTATTTGGAAAACTAATCAAAAATTCATTTGTTTCCCTTTATTTAGTTACCCTCCTTAGATTAAGTTAGTTTCAAACATTTTTGTTACCATTCCTTTAACTGAACGTTTCGAGCAAATGACTTGTTTAGTGATGTTTTTTAGTTGTACAGTCGTTTTTTATCAAGCTTAATTCCTTTGGCACATACTAAGAAATAAGAATGTCCCAATGTCCAAATTAAACTCTGATAGACTCCATAATTTAACGGTACGGTGATTTAGATTAAGATGAAAACTGAAAATAGAGAGTTTTTTTTAATGGGAATTTGAAAAGTTTATTCTTTAAGTGGCAAGTCCAACAAAATTTGAACACCGTGTCCTTTATAAATATAATGGCAGATATTATCTCATAGGTGCAGGGAAAATGAAACCGGATATGACACTCCAATTCTGTTGGAAACAAATTACAAATTAAAAAAAAAACGGTGTTGCTTTAGTCTTCATCGGTGCCAAAATATTTGTCCCCAAACTCACCCATTCCTGGAATGAAACGATAATCTTGCTGGTTTCAATCTCAGATGTGACAATCTTTATTCTTGGGAAACGTTTGCAAACAACATGAACACCCGTAGGCGCAGATGTGAGATTTAGGAAGATAGTGTTGCATCCCGGGACACCCTTCTTTATCCGTAGAGAGCCTGAACTTCTGAATTCCCACTTCCCATGATTTTTTGCCATTGCACCCGAGGAACACAACTGACCCTTCTTAGTAAAGGTGAAGTTATCATTTTATGAATTAGTCATCATCTTCATCAGTCTTTATTCAATGTATCTTTTGAGTTTGCTGGAGATGTTTGATAAAATGCCTGTGTGACAGTCATACAAATTTTGGTAATTCAATCTCTACTAATTGTTATACTGACTAGTAAACCTTGTTACCATCACGAATATTTGTTTATTCATTCGGTTGTTGGCATTTTATTGTGGCAGTACATGTGGTTTTGGGGCAATAACTAGCATTGTATTTGTCTGAGTTAATATGATGTTTATGATCACTTTAAAGTTTAAACTGTATATCTAATACTACGGCTTAATTTGCAGTCTGCCATTGTTAAAGAGGGTTAGGCCTTTTTGTGTTGTCCCATCACACATGGTTGGCACTTTAGATGAAATAGCTGTTTCTCAGCCAAGCCCAAAATCATGCCTTCTTTATCTGCAACGAGGGCCTTTCAACTCTTATATCTCCACTCAATGACAGAGTAAGGTTTTTAAGTTACTATGACCCTCTTACCCTAGCTAGCCTTGGATTGAAGAATGGAGTTGATGGACAGAATGCCAAATATAAGCTCCTGCTGGGCGTTTCCACAATTGAAGTACCTAAGGTATGATTGGATCATGGAAAATGCTAGGGAAAGTAAAGAAGTTAAAAATGTCAAGGAAAGTAATTATTTTCTACTTGGTTGTACCTTAGAAAGTGGAGAAGAAAACTAATTTTGGCTAAAATGGCTGAATCTTCTGGAAAACTGCATCTAACAAAGTGAAGTTTAGCCAAATAAGTAAGGCAAAGTCTAGAAATCATTATTATTCGGTTGATATTCTGAATAAGCTGAGATGATTAATACTACCAAATGGGGACTTGGTTTTTTTTAGTCTATTTATAACAGACACGCGCAAATAAGATCGGGTATAAAATGCATCTATAAAAATAAAAGTGGAGTTGTAATATACTACCTCCGTCCCAACGTAATTTTCTCATTGAAAAATGGCACAATTATTTAGACAATAATTGAATAAGGTTATTGAGTTATTCAAGTATATTTTGATAAGTAGTTTCGATGGATGTGTAATATCATTGTGATGTTATAGGTGTATGATTTTTTATATTTGATGATTAAGTAATCATCTAAGAGTGCTAATTGTTTTCTAAAATAGAAATGTGAACCTTTAGCTGGGATGAAGGGAGTATCTTTTATTATATATCACATTTTACTTCCATCTAATGTCCTTCCTACCCCCCCCCTCCCCCAGTTTCTTTTTGGGCTCAAACAGACTGTAAGAGTAACACCAAAAGAAAGGTAAACAGCGGAAGAAGCATTGGAGTGAAAGAGACAAAGTCCACAGGCATAGGGGAAGCATCCGCACCACGTACGCTGCAAAATCTTTCTCTGAGCTTGGCTTTCCCCAATTACTGATTGAAAGACTTGAGAAGGAAGGGTTTAAGGATCCAACAGATGTTCAAGCTTCTGCAATTCCAACTATTCTGGAAAACCATGTCGTGATTCAGTCATATACTTGCTCAGGAAAAACATTGGCATACCTTCTTCCGATACTCCCCCACATTGTTTTCCCTATGAATGGTGTATCTTCTTCAAGCAGAACGGATATCAAAGAAGTTATTGTAGCTCCCTCCAGGGAACTCTGTATGCAGATTGTCAGGGAAGTGGAGAGGCTTTTGGGACCCAACAAGAAAATGGTTCAACAGCTTGTTGGTGGAGCGAACCGGTCCAGACAGGAAGAAGCGCTCAAGAAAAACAAGCCATCCATAGTAATCAGTACTCCTGGTCGGATTGCGGAAATTAGTGCATCCGAAAAGCTTCACACTCACAAGTGCCGTTGCTTGGTCTTAGATGAAGTTATTGAGCTTCTCTCATTCAATTTCAGGGAGGACATGCAGCGGATACTAGATCACGTGGGGACAAAACGATCTGGTGCGGTTTCAACTATTTGATTACTCCTATAAATAGTTTATTACCTCTATCTCAAATGGTTTCTCCCTTCTGAAGTTTTCCATCATTTGCAATGGAACCAAAGATTCATTATTTTTTTGCCTGAGAATATGATGGAATAAAGCAAAATGGCTCACTAAACTGTCTGCGCTTCTTTGTTATGAAGCAGCAGTCAGCCCATGCAATTTTGGACGCGCTTTTCACTATGGGTCATCCGGTAACAGTCTCTCTGTGCTTTAGTACATGGGTAAGACTGCGTACATCCGACCCCCCTTACCCCACCGTAGGTGGGAGCCTGTGCGGCACTGGGGTAAATGAAAATGTAAATGATGATGAGTATTTAAATATTACTAATAGTTGAAGTCTACATATTTAGAAATTAAACTACGGGGTATAAATTCTTTGAACTGCAAAAGCTAACTTAGAATGTGATGGAAATTTGATACACAAATTTAAAGAATAAAAAGAATTTGGTTGTCCATTTGAATGGTAAAAGGGACAAACAAATTGGGGATGGAAGAAGTATAGCATACTATAACAACTTTATCATCTCAATTTTCCTAATAGTTAAACTGGCAATCACGGATTTGAAAACATTTTTAAGTAATACTCCACATGTCCTGAAAGAAAGTGGCACATATGACAAATGTACAACTCTCGTAAACCATGAACCATATTTATACTACGTATATTTTTAATATATTTGTTGATTTAAATAAATGTGTGATAGCAACTCTCTCTATGACTCTTTTATTATCTTTTGACAAATGATGTGAAATTATCTTCTATTCAAACAGGTCTTTTTTTTGGGATAAACAGATACTAAGGTGCAGGGAAAATGTAACCGGATATGACACTCCAATTCTGTTGGAAACAAATTACAAATTAAAAAAAACAGTAATGCTTTAGTCTTCATCGGTGCCAAAATATTTGTCGACAAACTCACCCATTCCTGGAATGACACGATAATCTTCGTTTAAGTGGGTTTCAATATCAGATGTGACAATGTTTATTCTTGGGAAACGTTTGCAAACAACATGAACACCCGTAGGTGCAGATATGAGATTTAGGAAGATAATGTTGCATACCGGGACACCCTTCTTTATCAGTAGAGAGCCTGAACTGCTGAATTCCCACTTCCCAGGATAGGATCCAGCAATAAGACTCGCCTCTCTGCTATGTCATGTGGTAGTTTTCATAGACTAGATGCTGGCCATGATCACTTTCTCGGCGAATTAGAAATTTTCCAGTTTTTATACCCTTACAGCATGCCGGCAGAGCATTGTCCATACTCTCCCCACTTCTAATTACTGAGACGCCACATAATCTCTTACCAAAATCATGTACACAAAGCCTGTTGGGGTGATGACCTGCTTTTCTGTAAATGGCAGATGCCCCATACCAAGTTCAACTACCAAGCGGATCAACCAGTCAGCATAAAATACAAAATCATGTTTCGTCATTTGGGAATCACAAATAAGAGTATGCATGCCTCGTATCTTAAAAGTCGAAGGAATAACGTAGAGATTGGGATATATTTTACAAAGATCACGTTGACCAATATTTGTGCTTATGTGCTGGACAATTAAATCAATAGCAACGTGATAGTCTCCACCCCGGACAATTAAAACAATTATGTGCTGTACTTCTTTGTTGGAAGAATGCAATATCCCTCTCCTTTTCAACTGTGTCACTTCTTATTCTCCTTGCAAGGCGTACATCAGCATCTATATCTACAAATGTCTTCATATTCATCAGATTTCTGACGCGAGGGTCGTGAAAAATAAGAATGCCTTCTAGAATCAAAACATCTGATGGATTTACCCTTCTCAATGCAATGTTTTTGAAAGTCTTTGGAGGTCCTCCCAGTAGCCTTCTAGAATCAATGTTTCTGTAGCACCTGCAGGCATAGTTGTCGATGGCGTCAAATGGCGCGCGCGCCATGCGCCATGAGGCGCAGTTTTAACCCCTGCGCTACGGAAAAGAGCTGTGGCGAGGCAAATACACATGGCGGCGCCATTCTTGCGCCTTCGCCATACCTGCGCCTTCGCCATGGCGATGCGACTGCCTTTTCTAAAAAGAGGCCGCGTCTTTGAGCTGTAAGTTGTGGCCTTTTGGCCCATAATTATCTGCGACCCATTATAACCATAAAACTGTAACAAAAACTTACTATTTTTAGCCCATATTACTAACTACAACCCTAAAGTCAATAAACACAACAAAGTCAATATCCGGAAGTTAAAGCTGCTCTGCGCAAGAAAGGGTATGCGACAAACTACAGAAAGGCAAACGACAGAAAAGCTGCTCTACACATGACTCTCATTGACTTCTTCCAACTACACAAGGTACGACTACCTCTTTAATGCTGTGTATAAATGAAGAAAAGTTCAGTTTATACAGTTACAATTTATCCAAAACTTTATATATTATATATATTCCTGAAAATGTGAACTTCATTTAATACTTCATGTGCTATGAGTATTAAATACAGAGCAGCTCAGCCTTTACTCCTTAATGTTAAATGCATAATATATTTATATGCTATGAGCCTATGATACTTTATGTCTTTATCAATTTATCACTTTAAACTTTGAAATAAATTTAGTTAGATAGATAGATGCTATGATCAGATAATTTATCAATTCAAATACTTATAGCATAAACATAGTAAAATGAAGTTTAAACTGAAAGTATTAAACTGATGCTAGTAATTTAAATAGCTAGTATTAAGATGCTAATATGATATCATGCTACATGCTAGTAAAATGAAGTTTTAAATAGTTTATCAATTTAGTTATAGCATTGTAAAATGAAGTTTTTACTTTAGAACTTAAAGTATTTAAAGTTTTAAACTGATAAACTGATACACTTTAATAAGTTAATTACTTAATTTAGTTAAAACTTTACACTTTACAGTTTAGAGTACTTGATACTAGAAGACTTAACAAAATTATAACAGTTTACACTTAACGGTTTAACATATACAATTATACATAGATTTTAACTTATGAGTTATGACATTGATCTGTTTTATGTTAATTGTTATTACAGAGGTAACCGAAGAGGCAGAGCCACAAAGGATGTCTGTTGCCTTTGCTAAGGAGTTCTGTGAGAAAGTAAAAGAAAAAAACAACAATGAATTGCGCTGCACGTACTGCGGGCACGTGACTAAAGGTGGAATTACAAGGTTTAAACAACACTTGACTGGGAAGCACCGCAACACAAAATAGTGTGAACTCATTCCCGCTGATAAGAGGGCTGAACTACAGGCGCTAGTCTTGAAAGAATCTACTGCTAACTCAGAAAAAAATGTGTGTGAACAAACGTTTCGAAGTACATACACAGTACAATAGTCTGGTGGGTCAAGTGCCAATAGGGTGAATGGAGATGATGACGTTGAGATAACTGGTTCTCAGTCAAATGCAGAGGGAGGTGGTGTGTCTGGGCCTGTGGATAAGTTCGTATATCCAACAAAAAAACGTAAGAAGGAGGCATTGACACAATCAACAATCCGATCACACTTGAAGAAAAAAGAGAGGGATGAATATGCTCAAAGCCTTTGTTTGTGGTTTTACAGGAACAACATCTCCTTTAATGTGGTTCATGACCCTTTGCTGAAAGAAACACTAGAAAAGATTGGCAGGTTTGGAGCCGGGTTTAAAGCACCAACGTATCATGAAGTGAGGGAGACGTTCTTGCGAAAAGAGGTAGCCAAAACAGATCTGGTGGTCAGTGAGCACAAAAAATTCTGGGAATTAGATGGCTGCACTATTATGTCAGATGGGTGGCAGGATAAAAGGCACAGAACTCTAGTGAACTTGTGCGTGAATTCTAGCAAGGGGACAGTGTTCATGAAAGCCGTAGATGCTTCATCTTACAAGAAGACCGGGGAAGCACTTTTCAAGCTCTTTGATGAGTGGATTAAAGAAATAGGTCCTCAAAGTGTGATACAAGTTGTGACCGACAATGCTAAAAATTATGGATTAGCGAAGAAGAAAATAGAACAAAGATATCCACATATCTTCACAACGGGATGTGCAACTCACTGTCTTGACCTTGTTCTAGAAGACTTTTCAAAGAAGATGCCGATAGTTAGAAGAACTGTGAAGACGGCACAAGGGATTACTACCTACATCTATAGCCATACCATTGTTCACAACTTGATGAAGGAATTTACCAAGGGGAGAGAGCTAGTTAGACCTGCTGCCACCCGCTTTGCCACTAACTTTCTGACTCTTCAAAGTCTTCTCACGCAGAAACACGCATTGAGGCAAATGTTTGCTTCACCGAAATGGTATGAAAGTGAGTTTGCAAAAACTACGGAAGGTAAATCTTGTTTTGAGTCGATTTATCGTCAAAGCTTTTGGAGAAGTGTTGCCTATGTTATGAAGATTTCTTTGCCCGTAGTGAAGGTATTGAGAATTACTGATGGAGAGGTGCCTCCAATGGGCTTTATTTATGAGGCTATGGAGAGAGCGAAATTGGGAATAAAAAACACATTGGGAGGTAAAGAAGAGAAATACATGCCTCTTTGGAAGATAATAGATAAACGTTGGAATGAGAACCTGCATTCTCCATTACATGCAGCGGGGTATTATCTCAATCCTCAATTCTTCTACCCTAATTCACGGCGAATCCTCGGAGATGAAGAAGTATGTGATGGCTTTATAAAGTGTGTGGAGAATATGTTGCCCACTAGCATTGGAGAGAGTGTAGAGTTCTCAACTGAGATATCAAACTATACAAATGCTAGAGGAAGTTTCCGAACTAATATGGCAATGAACAATAGGGACAAACAACCACTGGGTATGCACACTTTAATTTGTCTTCTCTTTCTTATGTAAGTATTTTATTCACTTATATTTGGTAATGAGGTAACCTACTGCCTACGAACTTATTTTTATAAACTTTCTGCTAGAACTAACTTTGTAGGTTTATAGAAGTATAGAACTAACTCTGTAGGACAGCAAGTGCTAGCCATCATTTTTAGGTTTATAGAACTAACTTATTTTATTTCAACTTTCTGGAAACTGGAAAGTCCTAAATTGCAATCTATTGTCATTCTAAATTTCTATATGAAATCTATTGTCATTCTATACAATCTATACCATTTAAAATTTGAGTTTTCGTAGTCATAAAACTACTGTAATTGACTAATTGACCTACACTTGCAGTCAACTTACTGTTATGGACTGGAATAGTTAAATGATGGCTAGCACTTGCTGTAATTGACTACAAAATTGAAATGGAAAGCTGAAATTTTAAATCCTGAAATCTGAGTATTGTTTTCTAGATTATTAATTAGCACTTGGTTGGAATTTTAAATATAGTTGACTGGTGGCTTGCAAATGGCTCCTCGTCTCCCACTTTGCAACATCTTGCTGTTCGGATCCTTAGTTTAACTTGCAGTGCTTCTGGATGTGAACGAAAATGGAGTGCTTTTGAAAATGTAAGTTCATAAATCTGCCTTTCATATTTAATTTAACTGTTTAACTATTTAAGTTATCTCACTATCTGTAGTTGATTTATTATGTACTTGTTTTAGGTTCAAACCAAGAAAAGGACAAGGTTGCTGCCAAAAAAAATGAATGATTTGGTATACATTCGGCAGAATCAACGTCTTCAAGATCAAGCTTTCAGAAAAATGAAAATATGTTTGGAAGACATTGATGATTGCAATGAATGGATTGATGAAGCTGCCGAGCAAAATGAAATGGAAAATTGGGATGTAGTGGAAGAAGTTGTTGGTGTTAATGAAGCAAATCACATTACAAGAGCAACAACAACAAGAGCATCAACACTTCAGTTGCACGACGAAGAGGAGATGGAGGAGACAGCGGAGGCGGAGGAGACAGATGAGGTTGAAGATCCCTCTGATGATGAACTCAATGAGGATGATGTGCCATTGCTATCAGATTCAGACCAAGAGGATGAGGAGTGGGATGATTGATGATGATTATGGCATAATCATCAAACAATAACAAGCTAACAAGCCTAAATCCTAACATATTTTGCATGACAAGAAACTTCTTTTGAATATTAGGTTTTTTGGAAGTACTTTAAACTACTTTAAAGTACTTTAAACTGTTTTTGTGTTGTTATTCAACTTTTTATATTGTTTTGGTGGTTGTGTTGATCAAGTATAGTGTCTATAGTTCGTTTTTGTGTTTTTTTTTTGTCACATGGCGACGCCATATTTGCGCCATCGCCATCGCCATCGCCATGGGAAAAGGCTTGTGCGCCATGGCTGTCGCCATGCGCCATGACAACCTTGCCTGCAGGTCCTCCCAGTAGCAGTCGCAGGTCGTAGTAGTAGCGGTCTGAGCTCCTGGGAGTAGCAAGCGCAGGTCCACGAGTTGAATCACAGCTTTTGTATGCGCAGGTTTTTGGGTCGAAGCTCCAAGCAATTAATTTTTTAGGATTTGAAAGCGCAGGTCATTTATTTTTTAAATACCAAGTAATAGCGACTAACTCACCTATTTGACCAACTCGCCGAGTACTCGGCGAGTAACTCGAAAAATTAACTCGGACCGAGTTAAGGTGCTACTCTGCAAGGTAAGAGGCCGAGTAGAAAGTACTCGCCGAGTAAATAACCCAGGTCAAAGGTCCATCAGATTTTAACGAAAGGCAAGTGGAAGGATAGGTCCAACTTGCTCTGAAAGAACAAGAGCACCGCGGGCCCAATCACAACATACAGGTTCACCGGATACAGATATGAAATAGCCAACATCATCCTGTGAAAGTAAATAGGACGAATCTGTAGGGATTTCAACTATTTGTAAGGAAAGCAATTTGTGAGTTCCTGGGCGACCACTTTCCTGGCCTTCACAAACTTTTGAGTCACCAATCTGGCTATCATCCCGGACTGGAGTGCATTTAAATGATAGAAGTTTATCATTAGCATCCCTAGCTAAGTGATAGGAACCTGGGCCTAATAGACTAATACTAATAATAAGGGACTGGGCCTATTAGAGTATTAATAATAATAAGTGTATTAGCTAAGTATAAATAGAAGAGGGCCAGGAAGGGTTGAGAGGGCTTGGAGACATTTGGTCTTGGACTAGGAAGGATACGAGACTGAACATCTCGATCTTTTGGGGCTTCGGCTTTGGGGGTTTCGGCCTTGTTCATTGTTTCTTTTCTGTAATCGATATCTTCTTGAATAAAATTCTTCATCTGATTTCTTGTTACTCTTCTTGTAACTGTTCTGGAATCTGGAGGTATCTATCATTGGTATCAGAGCAAAACGTTTGTTCCTGGAGACTGAGAATCTGAATCATGGAAACGATGGAGGAATTCGAGATGACACCACGGATGGAAGAGAGTTTTGATAATATAGACAGAATGATGAAGGAGATGCAGTCGAGCATGGCAGCATCGCAAGAAAGGATGAAGACGATGATGGCCGATATGCAGGCTAGTTTCGCCGATATGATAAACCAACTTACAGATCCTTCGAAGAGTCGATCGCATAAGTCGCACCACTCGCACCACTTACATCATCGTTACACGCGAAAGTCGAGGAGTCCAAAAGAATCTGAAGAGCCGAAGCATCGCAGAATATATGGCGACCGAACCAGGAACAGTAGGCTTCATCCGCTATCGCAGGCAGATTCGCGAAATGTCTCTTCGCAGATTTCTTCGCCTCGCTCGTCGCACAGTTTTTGGCATCATTCTTCGCATAGCTCTTCATATGGCTCTTCTCATCGCTCTTCGCATCACCATTCACAAAATTCCTCTCCGGACCTCAGTTCTTATCCAAGAAAGTCACCAGTCGATTCTCACTGTTCGCTGTCTTCCTCTCCAATCGATTCTCTGAGTTCGCAGACAATTTCTTCTGAAACTATGGTTTTGACAAGAGCAGAAGACCCCAGTTCGCAATTGCTATCTGAGTCACCAGAGTCGCAATGGGAGTTGGTTAATCAGCAGCAAATGAACACGGAAGATACACACACCGATGCCGAAGAGGAAAGCAATGAGGAATCTTCAGTTAATCTGGGACTTGAAGCTGGGACAATTATTCGTTCCCTCGCTGGTGATAACCCTTCCAGTTTGAATAACATTAGCAAAGACTGGAACTCTTTTAGAATAAATGAACTTCCTTCATCTGACAGGCTAGGTTGGAACAAAAGAAGTAGGGCTGATGTACTTGGTAAAAGAACTGATTGTGTATTCTCGCCCACAAAGTGTTGCTGGGTTTCTGTGTTGTTTTATACCAGCAAAGATGGTGCAATTTTGAGGATAATTTGGGTTTTTCCACTCTTTGTTTCAAGAAATCAGGAAAAAATGGATTCTCCTTTTGAGAAACAAGCAGTGGTAGAAAGATCTAGATGGAATATGCCTATGGGAGCTGTTTGGTGGAATGATGTTAGGTGTACTCAAAGCATAACAGAGGATGGCATTGTATTGCTGAAAAGCATTATGAAAGTAAATCACAATTCTGAGGAGCAAATTAAAGTGGAGGTTCAGGACATGAACACCAATTCTGCTACTGTTGTAAGTGTTATAGCTCAGGAAAGCATGAAAACATCTATGGATATGGAAAATCTGAAGTCTGCAGAAACATATGTGAGCTGGAAAGTTCAAGTACTGAAGCTACAAAGCCATCAACCAATCAAGTATTGGGAAGGAAAAGGCGCAAGAAAGAAGAGGAAGCGGAAGAGGAAGATCATAGCGGTTTCCTATCACCCACCTTGAGGGCAAGGTGGATGTTAGGGGGGAGTAATGATAGGAACCTGGGCCTAATAGACTAATACTAATAATAAGGGACTGGGCCTATTAGAGTATTAATAATAATAAGTGTATTAGCTAAGTATAAATTGAAGAGGGCCAGGAAGGGTTGAGAGGGCTTGGAGACATTTGGTCTTGGGACTGGGAAGGATACGAGACTGAACATCTCGATCTTTTGGGGCTTCGGCTTTGGTGGTTTCGGCCTTGTTCATTGTTTCTTTTCTGTAATCGATATCTTCTTGAATAAAATTCTTCATCTGATTTCTTGTTACTCTTCTTGTAACTGTTCTGGAATCTGGAGGTATCTATCACTAAGCGGTATTGAAGAAGACCCAATGCTAATGGTATTTTTACACCAGAGTCATTTTCACCTTCATTTGCATTCCCTTTCCATTCATACAATGCATTTCAAATGACTCCTTCAAGCTAACTGAATGTTTTCTTTTCTCGTTTTGTAGATTTAACTGAGTGTAAAATACTCCACATGTTGATCCATGTGGAGTATCTAATGCTTCACACTAATATTTCGCCCCCCTAATTGTTGATCCATGAGTCTTCCTTCCAACACATCCCGTACTCGCTGAAGGGTGTCGGTTTGACTTGCGTTTTTAAGTTGTTGTCCCTTTGCTTGTTCTAAAACAGTCTATTAGAAGAAATGCTGTATGCTTTTCAGCTTATGTGGTTGGAGATTAACAAAAAAAACTCATGAAAGGTACCGATCAGGCTCTTCACAATATCACACCTACAACAAGTGGTATATAAACTACTACAGCAACTTTCCATCTCAAGACTACAGTAGCTATTTATTTTTACGCATTTGGGTTTGAGAGGTTCCCTTTGCTTTTGAATCTTGCGAGGCCAATAATACTTGATCCTACACATGCATTCTCGGTTTCAGTATGACCTGTGGATTCTGTAAATTTGTAATTTATTTGTATCATTTTCTCTCACAAGTGGGCTATAAATTTGCGATCGTTGTATGTGCATTGCACTGCTTCCCTGTATAGTTGAAGTCCCAGAATGAAATTGGCTGCCATCATACTTATTGCGGCCAATTACGAGCAATTGCGACATTGTTATGAACTTATGAAGTAATATTAGAAATAGTGCAAAGGTGGTTGGCTCAGTTTATACAATGATCCTGCGGAAGGATCATTGTAAAACCTGCAAACTTAAAAAAAATTAGAAATAGTGCAAAGGTGGTTGGCTCAGTTACATTTTTGAATGATTGTAGTTTTGTCTTCCTCTTCTTCGTCTTCGTTTGTGATCTGTGTTTAACAATTCTAGTCGTAGAAGCTAGAAGAGTTGGATGGTTCGGAACACTTGTTCTGTGAGGTCTTGCTTTAAACTACAGTGAGGATTGTATATTTAAACAGCAAGGTACTTGATTACTGCTTTAGTTTTGTTAGCTGAAGTCGTTTCGGAACAAATGAACTTCACTAAATCTAATCACCTGCTTCATAATATGTCTTTTCAGGAGGGGCAAGAAAGAGGATGAACAGAAGTAAGCATATCTATTATTGTTCTTTATTTTTAACTAATTGGATGGATGCACAAGTTAGATCCTTAATAATTTTTCCTAGGTAAATACCTTGAACAACTCATTTTACTACTTCCTTTAATTGTCATATATGTTATGGTAACCTTACTTTTTATTTTGAATGAGATTATAACTGGTATTTGTATCCATCCTTTATGATGCTCATTTCTAATGTATTATATCCTCATTATAAGTACCAGTGAGATTTTCAGCTTTTTTGGACCCATCAAACCGCACTCCAAAGTAAAGGAAGGAAAACAAGTTTCTGAAGTAATCTTTAGGTTCCGTTTTTCTTAATCATTTTAGCTGCCATGATGTTTAATGTATATCCTTAGGGGAATGAATTTGATATTTTGGCATGTCTTGATTAGGTGGTTGTTTCATTTTTTTTATACATCGGAAAAGAAGGTGGTTGTTTCATAGCAAACTGGGATTTGGCAGATTAAGCAAACTGCCCAATCACACCTGCAAAGTGCTAGAAAAAATACACAGGAGTGTGAGTAACACCCCCCCCACCACCCCAGTAAATATATATAATAGTATTAGAATAAAAAAAAACTATTGAAAACAGAGGTAGCAATGTTAAAAAACATTCAAGTGAATACTACCATAGTCTTCAACACAACCAAGTCTTATTTTGTTTCTTTAAATCAATTAACCTGAACCTTTACACCTTCGGTTGTAGGAGAGTATATAGGCAGTCAAACGAAACCAAGAAGTAAAGAAGGGGCATAAATAAATAAAACTAAAATGTCGCATGAATTTCACTACTTTGAAATTTGTAGAAAGTATTCAAGATTTGTACTATTCGTTTCTATTAAAGATGTATTCTGGAGGTGTAGGATTGATTTGATTCAGTTTAACATCAATTTAGTCCAGGAAAAATTTGGAATCGCCGCTAGTA